GTTGATAATGTTAATAATTAGGGAAATCCAGAAAAGTCTGCTTAGCTGGTATCCAGGGAAGTCATTTAATTGAAAGCTTACATGTGTTGTAGTAACCAGTCTGAACTCTTCCAGGTGCGCTTGGTAATTGCTGAAAAGGCATTGAAGTGCGAGGAACATGATGTAAGTCTGCCCCTGAGTGAGCACAATGAGCCTTGGTTTATGCGTTTGAACTCAACTGGAGAAGTGCCTGTCCTTATCCACGGGGAAAACATAATTTGTGAGGCCACTCAGATCATTGATTATCTTGAACAGACTTTCCTGGATGGTAATGTTAAGGCTATTTGTGATTTTTGGATTTACTTTCAACACAGATGTGTGTTCCTTTTCTCTCTCACGCTCTCCCTCTCTTTCTCTCTCTCCCTCTCCTCCTTTCTCTCTGGTTTCATGATGGTTGATTTAGTGATTAAATATCTTTTCCATTTCCATAAGCAGACAGATATAAGTCAATAACAAATTTTGCACAAGGCAGTGTAACCCAATTTAAAAGAATGTTATGTACAGCTCAAATGTTAATGTGGAAACTTTTCTTTTAAATTTACTTGCAAAAACCCTGCAGGTTTGTGGTTTGTGTTGGCGATTTATTAGCCTTTAAGTAAAATTCATAGTATTGATTCGAAATATACACTGTGCAATCAATTTCATCCAATCTACCAAATGGTTCTATCTTAAAAACAGAAGAAAAAAGAGGAATACGTGCCTGTAGTCCAGCTAATCGAGAGGCTGAGACAAGAGAATCGCAGGCATCCTCAAACTATGGCCCGTGGGCCACATGCAGCCCACCTAGGACATTTATCCGGCCACTGGGTGTTTTTGCTGCCGCTGCCTGTCCTGCTTAGCAGCTGACTTGTCCTGGGGCCGGCAGTCCAGCCTTCCAGCCATCTGAGGGACAGTGAACTGGCCCCTGTTTAAAAAGTTTGAGGACCCCTGAAACCCAAGAGCTGGAGGTTGCTGTGAGCGGTGATGGCACAGCATTCTACCAAGGGCAATAAAGTGAGACTCTGTCTTTAAAAAAAAAGAAAGAAAGAAAAAAGAGGAATACATTTTAGACAAAAATAGGAAGATCAGTATACTTTGAGTTCTTTGCCTCAGTTGCTTCGGAATAATTTGAATCATATCTTTACTAAGGAATTATAGGGCTTAAATTTGTATAGTTCTTTTAAGTAATAATTTATTGACAGCTTGTTATGTGCCAGGCATTTTGTAATTTCTATTCAGGCTTCAAAATAACTTAGGTAGTCAGGGTAGAGTACTTATTGCCATTTTATATGTGAGGAAAGAGAAACAAGAGTTGCCCAGAGTCATAGAGCTATTTTATGGCAGAGTCTTTTATATTACACCAGCTGTCTCCCATAGTCTTTGCCACTTACATATTGTCTTGTTTGTTAATAATAACAATTCTTTGAGGTGAACTGTAGCTTCAGTGATTTGCCCAAGATTACATAGCTGATCATCAGCAGAGCTGAAAACAGAACATGGTGCTCCAAGGTTTTAGCTCAGTGCTCTTCTAACATGAAGCTGCATGAGAGCCAGTCACTTTTCACCTGCTACCAGTTATGTTCATATTTATTGGGTAGGATGAAACCGGAATCTAGCCCTAAATTACAGGAAGCTGAGAAAAGAAATTACTAGGACCAGAAAATGTCTGAGGTACTTAGAAAGAAAATGGGTATGAAACCTAAATAGTGTGAGCAGAAGCCCAGGGAATGAGATTAGTAAGGGGCTGCCCCTATTCTTAAGTGTTAGCTGCTTAGGATGGTGATTGGAAGGTAGGCTTGGTCAAAACTAAAGATTTTGATGAATTATTTTTTTTCTTCACTATTACTTGCTATCCCTTACAAGTTTATATGGTGGAGACAGTACTGAAAATGGTTATTAATTTATATAAAACAATTTTTCTCAATCTTGAGCTTTTTGGAAATGGATAAGTATGTTTAATAGTAATTTATATTTCTTGAGAGAAGTGATTGTAATGTGAACAAACATAATTTTGTAAGAATTTTCTTTTAAACGATCAAAGCTTTAAAATGGTATAATAAATGGAAAAATCATATTTAAATCTTTGGTAGCATTGTTGAACTACAACTCCTATTATCATCATTCCCCATCACCACCACCTCCTCTTCACCTTCTCCTTACACTGTTTTTCTTCTAAGAAATCCGATGATACGAAGTATGATTCTTTATAACATAGTAATGTTACTGTTATTAGGTTTTAAAAATTTTTTTTAGGTGTTACATTTTGCTATTACTACACATAATAATAACACAACTCAAATACATTCTGGGTCCTGCTACGTTATATTTAAATAAGCAAAGGAAATGCTAAGTTGTCCTTTTGATTGCTGTTTATTTAATTAGAGAAGGCACTGCAGACTGAATGATAGGATGGAAATATGAAAACTACAGACTGAGTTTTTATAATAAGTAAGCAATCAAAAGTTCTAGCTTTTAGTCTGATGATTCCATTAACTTGTTGAATGTTTTTGGCTACTAGATTTCTGTTTGTCTTTTGGATTAGGTGAGGCAGTTAATTGCAGAGATAAAACAGCTCCAACCAGGCTGGGTGCAGTGGCTCACGTCTATAATCCCAACACTCTGGGAGGCCCAGTTGGGAGGATTGCTTAAACTCAGGAGTTCGAGACCAGTCTGAGCAAGAGCAAGACCCCATCTCTATTAAAAATAGAAAAGCTTTCTGGCTTTGTGGCAGGCACCTGTAGTCCTAGATACTCAAGAAGGATCGCCCGAGCCCAGAAGTTTGAGGTTGCTGTGAGCTGTAATCATTGCACTCTACCCAAGGCAACAGAGTTAGACACTGTCTCCAAAAAAAAAATTGTTTTTAAATGTGAAACATGTAGGATGTGCTTAAAATCATGAGAGGCAGAAGGATCCCTTGAGCCCAGGAGTTTGAGGCTATAGTGAGCTATGATCTAGCCAATGCACCTCCAGCATGTGCAACAGAGTTAGACACTGTCTCCAAAAAAAAAAAAAAAAAAGTTCAACCAACTCAGTTCAACCAATTTCAGTCTTTTTCCAGGAGAGTAGTCATTCAATTGAAAAGGACTAAAAAAAATTAAGCATAAGAAACCTAAAATTTATCATAGACAGGAAGACAACAAGAGAATAATAATTACATAAATCAAGGATAGTCTGTCTACAAGTCAAGATGAAGTTTATCTCAGAGTAATCTTTAAGAAGTCATGGAGGAATAGGGAAAAAGCCAGACAAGTGATAGACCAATGTCATCTCAGTGTCAAAGACAGGGAAGGGGAATTCAACCAGCCCTTGCTATTTAAAGTGTGTTCCATCCACCAGCAGCACTGGCATCATGGGGGAGTTTCTTAGAAATGCAGGATTTAGACCTCACTTGAGGTCTCTTGACTTGGAATCTTTGTTTTAACAAGAGCCCCAGGTGATTCATATGTACATTAAAGTTTGAGAATACTGCTGGAGATTAGTGTTTGAGCTTTAAGCACTGCTCTAAATTACTGATTTTAAATCTGGCAGAATTCTAGAATAGATTGTCAAACGTTTTTTAACTATGTATTTTAAGTTTTTGAATATCTCAGTAAAAGGAACCACCTTACGTTTTGCATTACTGAAGAATGTCATTAACACTTAAAAAAATTTTGTATTATGTGCCAGGCATGGTCTAGATATAGTTTATGATGATTTAAATAGAGCATTTGAAATTACTTCACATAATATACCCTTATAGAATAAAGGAGTAAATATGGCTAGAAGATAGGAATGCACATTTGAAGATGAATAAGCTACCATATTGAAATATTTACACATTTCTTTTGGGGGGTCTCGTCTGGGATATGAACCCAGTATTTACACATTTCTTATACAAAGTTGCC